GCAAAGTCATCCCACAACAACAGACTGGATGCTTCGTTCGCGACGTGGGGCTTCCAAACGCTATTGAACCACTTTTTAGTGAGGTCCGAGTCCATGAAGGCCTTCTCTTGACACGTCGCGAACAAGCCAGCTGGCACGATAGCTTCAAGATTCGAGTCAATACGGGCACCCGGGACTCCCTTGAATACCACAAATGGTGGTAGCTTGGTACCATCCGACACGATTGCAAGGCACACAGTAACACGGGGATTGGACGACGTACACTTGCGTGCAGACACCGTTCTTGAACCCTTTGTTGCGATCGTTGTCTTGACCTCTGGCTCCAGAGGGAGAGGTGTTTCGTCCATGTTTACAAAACATCGCCCTGCTACCTTCGCCAACGTTCCAAACGGCGCGAAGCGTGCGACTAAGGTCGTTCCAAAATCTTCCATAATCGCCGTCAATTGACCCGATCGCTTTTGAGCCCGGCGGGTTGGGCGGCGAATGACCAAGTTATGTCGTTGCAGGAACATATAGACCCACTTCTTCAACGCATTTGGTTGTCCGCCATGAAAATCCGAGTCCACACTGAGGGCGTAAATGATGAGCATGTTCGTACTGATGGCGATGTCGTCTTGCTGAAGAGTGTTGAAGTACTCAAGGACTTTGGCCTCGACTGCTGGATTGGTCACTGGGCGGCCAGCATTGACGGTCAATGCAGACGGATTGAACACAGCCCTGGCGGTGATTTTGTCCTTGGCCTTGACCCACCGAGACACTTGGCCAGTTTGGACGCCAAATTCCTTCCCAATGCAATAGAAGGTCTTCTGAGCATCCGTTGCAGCTTCGTAAGCTTGTATCACGTTCACTTTAAACCTCAATGAAATGGCTTTGCGTTGTCCAGACGTGGATCGACTTCGTCGTGACTCGGAAGTCATTTGGTTTGTGTTCGTCAATCATGCTCATTGTATGCGCGGTTAAACATTTTGTCCAATCAAAACGATGCAATTGAGCGGAAACTATAGTGGTACGTTTAAAGTGTTCCCGTAAAGTTATAACTATTTCTAAAACATTTGCATGGTTACAGATGTGCGGGAAATACGGTAGCTAAGTATAGTTTACTCGTGCGCTCCATAGCAACAGTTGTTGAGTTGGATAGTTGTGTCAAAGCTAACAGTAAGTCGTTTCGCCTAATAGATCAGCATACATGAATTCCCACTTAACGTCAGTAAACGAGGGTTCTACCAGTTGAATCATAGGAACCGAAGTAGTACTCCATTCTACCGCTGAATAACTGTATTGCCGTGTTGCGGCCATGGCCTCTCGGGGTGCTAATGAGAATCCACGCCTTAATCAATAAGTAGACTTGTGTAGCGTCAAGTAGTATTGCATGCTAAGTACTAGTACTCAAGTGAGTGGTTTGTTGTTTGGTTGCTGTAGTCAGTTTGATAGTTTGGGAAGATTCCGAGGTATCTCCGCCTTAAAGATAAGTATATTCGCATAGTACTGGCATGAATGAAGATACTAATGGAAGAATAATTTAAAATGATGTAGTATTGCCTGTGTAGTGCTGATTGGGTGGTTGTAATGTGATGGTAGTTGTCGGAGCGGTGATCTGCGAGGCTGCCATGTCACATCCATCGCATCAGTAGGAATACAGTATTCACGTAGCACCATGTTAGGAGAGGTTACTAGTTAAAGAATCTTCAGAATGGGTGTATTGTGAAGGTGAGCCCGGGCATGTAAGCCACTGAATGCCACACAGTGGCTGTTTGAGGTCCCAGGCTCAAACCGTGTGTCCTGCTATTCCTTTCCTTAGTCAACAACATACAAACACAGTAGCTTGGCTTGCCGTCTTGCTCAGCTACACGGCAAGACAAGTACTTCGATCGAGTTCGTTGTATGAGCGATGTAGTGCAGCCACAGGCTCAACATCATTTGCAGCATTTGTTTCTATTTACAACCAAAGCACATTCTACCCATGGTTTGCTGTGATCTATTAGCTACATGGCAAGCTAAATGGTTTGGACCAGCTCGCCGTATTAGTCTCAGTGGTTCAATACAACGTATTGCTGCTGGTGTTGCATGTCAAATTGAGGAGTTTGGTGGACATTTTATCCGGCTATAAGTTCGACCAGTAATCTACGTACCTGTTGTTCCATATATCTCGGTACAAAAAGGCCGGTTGGTTTAAATTCTACTACGTAGTATTACTCGATCAATTTTTCACCAATCGAAAATCTGAACCGTACCTTCTGTTGGGCTTGTCCAGTTCTATCGTTATTAGAGTGATTTTGCACCAAGAATCCACACGAATTTTCCAATACAATTTCCCTGAAAATCCTTCGGTGAATATCATGTTGGGAAGGTGCTTTTGCTATAGGAAAAATTCAAATTTAAGCCGGAATGCCGCTGTGTGCGTTGTTGCGGCTCTTCTGGAGCACCTACCGGTAGGACACGGCTCCCAATCTTTAGGCATATCAACAACCCAATGCATTAGGTGCAATGTGTACAGTTTGTGACCTTGCATCATCCCTATATGCTGTAGTTAGTGTGCATCACGCCGACGTTCAAACATGGCCGCTTTGAGGTGGTCGATGGACACTGGGGGATAGGATGTATCTGTTGGCTGGTTTACGTTCGGCACTATACCACTGCTCGCCTACGATATCCTCGCTCATCTACTAGTGCGTCCTACCTACCCCTCATCTACGTTTGGTGCCGACCATGCCATTCATCCATGAAGCGAAATTGGTAATTTAC